CCAGGGAAACAGGAACCACAGCCAAGCCCAGCCCTGAGCAAAGCCCCAGGTGCCCTGGGACACCTACCTGGACAGCCACTTCTCGGGGGTGAGCCTTCATGGCCTGCAGTGCTGCCAGGGCCCCACCGCCCTCCATGATGACGCTGCAGTTCTCGGGCTTCCGAAGAGCCAACATGCACAGGGCAGCACAGCCCTGCTCACAGATCTGCAAGGCAAAGGGGCAGGCACACTCTCAGCTGGCTGAAAATGGGGGGGCCTTTAAGGCAGACAAAAATGGAGTTTGTTTCCTTTCGTGGCAATTTTTTTAATTCAGTTTTGTGGGGTTTTTTTTTGTTTTTTTTTTTTTAAGTTTTCCTCCTGCTGCTCTGGTGGGTAAAGAGAGCTGGACTGGATGACCTTGGAAGTCTTTTGCAGAGTCACAGAATATGCCAGGTTGGGAGGGACACACAAGAATCATCGAGTCCAACCCTCAGCCCTGCACAGGACCACCCCCCAAGACTCACACCCTGAGCCTGAAAGGATCATCCAAACATTCCTTGAGTTGTCAGCCTCGGTGCTGCAACCACAGCCCCGTTCCAACCTTACCTCCAGCCTTAATGATACACCCCAGAGGTGCAAATACCCACTCTATCCACCTAATCCACAAGAAAAAACTCCAACACCCGGTGCACACACCTTTCCATTTACACAAACACCTGCCCCAGCGCGCACTCAAACCTCTCCATGACCTCACATTCCCCGCTCAGCTGCAGCCCCCCCAAAAACCGAAACTCCCTCACGCAGTCCAGGCTGGAGCTGCGTTCCCTTCCCAGTGGGAACTCCCCGGCCGTGCAGGTGGTACCTGGGGGTTGGCCAGGTGATGGCTGATGGCCAGGACGATGAGGTCGGTTCCGCCGGCGTCGACGATGGCGTCCTTCACGTCGTCGTTCCCGGCCACGGCGCGGATGGCGCTGAGCACCTGCTTCACCACGTCCTGTGCCACCAAGGAAAGCCACTTTAGAACACGGCAGAGGGGATTTGGGGGCTCTTGAAAGCGAGCCAGAGCATCCCATCAGCAGCTCCATCCAAACAGATTACCAGCTATGAGGAGCAAGGCTGCTCTTGGCTCACAGAGTTAGAAGGAAACTTGGTTTGCCAGAGGTTTTTAAAGAAGCTTAAAGAATCCAGCATCAGCCTCTGGAACCTGAACATCCAAACCCTCTCCTCTAGCTAAAATAGTGGAGAACCAGACACTCAGCTGGTCTGGGAGTGAGCAGAGTTCTGCTCGTGGAGTGCAGAGGACAGAGGAGCAGCTGTGAGCAAGGGGCTCGCAAATCTTACCTGCAGAGCCATATTCTATATATAAGGTTGTAAATAGGGATCAGAGGTTGGGTCCCAACCCTAACTGCAGCTAAAATATTGCATACCAAAATGAATCCTGTTCCTCAGAACAAAGAGCACGTCCCGCTGTGTTCCCCCCACTCCCAAAACACTTCACATCACTCACTGGGTGGTCCATGCAGTCAGCCAGCAGAGTCACCATGAAATTTAAGCCCCCAAGGTCCACAATCTCTTGGCAGAACTCATTCCTGACAGAGAGGCGAGAGAGGGTGGCACAGAGCTCACTGAGAACGCCGGAGTTGTCCGTGAACGCTGCAGGAGAGAAGATGGGAGGGAGTCACTATGAGCAGGGAACTAAGGTGGTTTACTCTGCTTCATTAAAAAAATGAAACAACAGGAAAGAGTGTTATTTCCCTTTATACATTAAAATAGGAGAGATGACACCTGCTCTCCCTGTTTCTAGACAGAGGCAGGATATCTTTTCTCGGCAAGAAGCACCTCAGCAGGGATAATGTGCCTGCAGAAAACCTGCTCTGGGCTGTAAAATACTTCCTAAACACAGTGACAAATAGCTCTGATAATGTGTCTGCTCCAGAGGTTATCAGCAGCACCGAGGGGGCACTTATTTTTCTCCCTCAGGGCCCATTTCCTCAATTGAATTAAACACCATTTTAACAGCAAATCTCTGAAATCACCTCGGAGGAGCTGCGAGTGACAACAAAACTTGAAGTTTTGAGAGAGGAAAGGCCTAAAGCTCCGAGGCTTTAAGAGAAGAAATCACAGAATGTGCAGCTGGAAGGGACCCACAGGGATCAGAGTCCAACCCCTGGCCCTGCCCAGGACCATCCCCGAGAGCCACACCCTCGTGCCCAGGAGCATCATCCAAACGCTCCTCGAGCTCTGTCAGCCTCGATGCTGTGACACCACCCCGGGGAGCCTCGTCCCAGCACCCAAACCAGGGGGGAGGGGGTGTTCATTTTTACCTTTGGCAGCCTCAATGAGGACCCTCAGCCCGTCGTTCTCCAGCACGATCATCTTGGCGTGGTCGTGGGCGTGGCCGAAGGGCACGCGGATGTCGTCGTCGAACGTCATGATCCGCAGGGCCGAGGCCGCCGTCCTGACCACGTCAGCGCTGGCCCCGTGCTGCACGATGGCCCCGGTGAGCAGGGGCAGGATCCCGCCCTTCACAAAGTCCTGCCTGTTCTGCTCGTGCTTCAGGCAGGCGTTCCTGACGCACCGGATCCCCGCCAGCGTCATCTCCGCGTCCTCCCGCCGCTCCCGCAGGCTCCGCAGCAGCAGCTCCTGCCCCGCGGCGTCCAGCAGGTCCGGCTGCCCGTCCAGCAGGGCACACAGGGTGGAGAGGGCCTGGAGCGTTAAATCCCTGTCTCCTGAGGCCAGCTGGCAGGCAGAGAACACCACGGGGTAGGCCCCGTTCTGGCCGGCCAGGTAGCGGAAGGCCAGCTGCTCCCGGCACTGCGCTGAGAAGCTCGCCAGCTGCTCCGGCAGCTCCGCCAGATCCGCATCAGCCACGGCTCTCCCCAGGGAATCCAGGGTCTGGGGGAGACACCAAGGGTTAGTTTTCCACAGGGCCAGGCAGATTTGTTCATTTAGCCCTCGGTTTCAAGCTCAGCTTGCTGTCTCTAAGGAGCGGCTGACTCGAAGAGCAGCGCTTTGCCCTCGTGCAAAGAACCCCTGGAGGAACTGGGGTTCCCTGGGCTCCTGCCCCCACTGCCACACCACCACTGGGTACCAGTCTGACCACTGGCAGGTGAACTGGGTCCAGCCAGCACATTCCAGCCCTGGAAGTGTCCAAGGTCAGGTTGGAAAGGCGTTGGAGCAACCTGGGCTAAGTGGAAGGTGTCCCTGCCCATGGCAGGGAGAGAATCTGGATGAGCTTTAAGATCTTTCCAACCCAAACCTTTCCATGATTTTATGCTTTCCCAGGGGTCAGTGGGGAGTATTTTTATATCTGTGGGTACTTTTACACCCTTGCTGGTGAGGGACTGTACTCAGCCTTTCCATCACCCTCAGAAGAGCCAGCTCACACCTACCAACCAGGTTACTTTCGTTTCTTTCAGCTGAAGTTCTTCTGTGGTTTGAGTTCCCCTGGCCACAGCAGAACCTGCTTCTAAGTCATGACAGGCAGTTTCTGCACTCCCCCAGGCAGGAAATGCTGGCATTTTACACTTGGAATCCCAGAATTTCCAGAGAGATATTCCTCCCCTGGCACGGCTCGAGGCCGTTTCTTGTCCTGTCCCTTGTTCCCTGGGACCCCCCTCACTCACACAGGTATTTCCCTGCAAAGGGCAAGAAGCTCTTTGAATTTTCTACATTATTCCTCCTTTGGAGAACAAATGTGAATAAATTCTTGCAGAGCTCCCAGAGAAATGGGACAGGGGCAGAACCAGAAGGCACGTGCCCTTAATTCTTGGTCTACTACTTATTATATAATCTTGATTTTTAGGAGACAACAGCAATTTGTGCTCCTACCAGCAGGATTTGATGCTTTTGCCTCTGCCCATTCTCAGAGGCAGGCTGTCTCACAGCTTTCACAATATTGCTCAGGTCCACACCTAAAAGGGGGAATAAAACAAAGATTAACATCAGTGGCAGGCTAATGAGAGCAAAATGAACAGCATTATTTACGGTTATAGGTAAAATCTGCCAAGCTGACCCCAGTGAACTAAGATGAGCTTGTAAAGATCAATGCCCAGAGATGCTGAAATGTTAAATTCTGACTATAATGGTCAAATCCACCCTGGGACAAAGGATGAGGGGAACAAAAAAAAAAAAAAAAAAAAGGAGTTTAATTTCCAAAGCAGTTTCCCAGTCATAATTACTGCATGAAACCAGGTCAGCATTAACAGCGCCTCTGTTTCACCTCACAAAGGCTCCTTTCCAACAGTGGCTGATCTGCCTTTGAGAGCAGGTTCCCTCAGACCCTCACAGATGTAAAACCCGGGCCTGTAAGGCCTTGAATGC